AGAGATTCATCAAATATTATCATGGTATAAACATATCATATAACAAAATCGTGCAACCAAAATAAATAATCGGAAATTACACAATTTAACTAAACTAAACAACACACAAAATTATTAATTAAATTAAATATGAATATTTAATAAAATTAATTAATAATTTAATTAATTAATATTAAATAAGTATATTTAACGTAATTAACAAAACACATTTTTTAATATATATATTTTCTATAAATAATAATAATAATAATAATAATAATATTAATAATAATAATAATAATAATAATAATAATAATAATAATAATAAGAAATAAAATAAAACAAAATAAAAACTTATGGGCTTGTATCAAAATAGAAAAAGGCGGGTGTATTCGAAAAGTCCTAGGCCCATGAAAAACTGGCCCAAGGCGCTGGATCTAGTAGTTCAGTCAACATGTATTTGACTTTCGTAAACAAATTAAGGCCATTGTATCTAATGGTCAAAGATCTTGACCTGATCCAAGGGTTTATAGTCGTGGGTACGTGATCCGGCTCATGGAAGTGGCACATGTAAATCCTCAGCAACTTCCCAAAAAAAATGTTGGAAAGGAAAACCGAATGATGATGCAAAAGTTGTACGCCTCACAGCCTCCCATGCGACAATAAATGCCTTGAAGAAACAGTAATAATAATAATAATAATAATAATAATAATAATAATAATAATAATAATAATAATAATAATAATAATAATAATAATAATAATAATAATAATAATAATAACCAATGAAAAGCTGAACAAAAACACGTTATGACAAGTCATTTTCTTACAACTTCAATATTTCTCTCCTAGTATCCTCTCAAAACATGGCCGCCGGAAAACTCAAGGAAGGTCGCCGGAGAAGAAATCCAATGTCTTCTTCGGTATGAACACCCCATCTCATCACAAACTCTCAACGAACCCTCCACCTTTTTCCGTCATGAAACCTAATCGATCCTCAATTCCAACAAAAAACTAAACTCACGGCCAAAACGGCTTTGCCCTCTTCTCAAACCCTAACCCAAAATCCTCAACAAAAATGCGAACAAACAAAAGACTTACACCTATCTCCGAAGCAGAAAGCAATGAAATGGAACAACAAAAGCAAGACCGACACAAAAAGAGATAAAGCGTGAAATGGACTTACCTTTGAAACTTTCACTCGTAGGTATGAACATTTTCTTTCGTTTCTCCTTCCTCTCTTCCTTGCCCTCTTTTTGTGGTTGTGATTCAAACCAAATCAGAGCTTAATAGCAGCCGCTCTAGGGTTTTTAGTAGGTAAAGAATTAGGGTTTTCTCTATTGTATGGTAGCCTCCTCCCTTCTCCTATTTTTGGATGAAAGAATAGTGTCCTTATATAGGACTCCAATTAGGGTTTTTTTTTGTGTGAAATTTCGTTGAGGAAGAAAAAGATGTACAAATTGTACAAGTTGCAACTACGATATCTTTTTGGCTTAAAAAAATCCTTTTGTCTACTAGTGATTTCTCTGTGGTGGTCCCTATTGATTCTTCCTTTTGGGGTCCCACAAGTTAGCTTAAAATTTGAATTTTGATAAAAAGAACATAAAACACTGCTTTCCAATTCTCTTGGTATGCTTGAGGTTGGATTTGAATGATGATGGATTGAAAATGCAAGGTCTTGAAGTGGGTTGAATGACATATGAATTTTTTTGAAAACTTAGAATTGAAATGAAGCTGGATTTTGAATGTTTGTGTTATGGTTGAACCTGAATTGATTGGATTGAAAGCTGGTGTTAAATTATGAAAATCGAATCATGAAGTGATTGAACTTGACTTGAATTTCTAATTTTGGTTATGAACTTGCATATGACTTAAAATGGATTGATGCTTGTCTATACCATATTCTTCGCTCATATTATAAACTTCTAATTTTTGTTTGTCAGGTTCTATCTTTCTAACCAGAGGCATGATGTGATACAGTATTTCACTTTCATAACGAAACTTGCAGCGGATTCAATGTCAATCAATTCCACCCCCTTGAGCCTGCCCCTAACAGTAGCTACAATCTGTAGGAAATATTCAATTTGATCAAGAGCTTGAGAAATTCTTCCATTTAGTCAACTGGGCTTTCTTACAACAAATATTTCGATGACAAAACTACTTTCACGAGAATTCAGCATGACGACACCAGGGGAATCTAGTACCTAAAAATATTTTGTCCAAATGAAACTCTTGCATTGACCTTGCTATCCCAGGAGTAGCAACAACATTGATAACATGTCATCTCTTTAAGTCGTAAAAAACTATCTTACTAATAGTGACAGTAGTTGAGAGGTGTCTCAACTCCAAGACCATTACTCAATGACAAGGTATTGTTTGATTCGACCTCCCCTTTCCTTTCTTCTTTTTTTATAGAATATCTCCACCTTAGGTTTGATTGTTGTTGTTGTGGATTTTAATTCATTCTGGTTTTTACTGATGCTCGGAAGTCTGGATTTGGAATTGTTATTTTTCTCTTCTTTTTTTTTTTTAAAGTTTCTCCTTCTTGAATTGTGTCACCAATCCATTGTTTTTGTTGCAGATTTTGGTGTAGTGGCGCGCACAAGTTGCAGTGTAACAAAACTGACAGAACATGCTGTTATAACTAGTAGTCAGGGAACGCGGGAATTTGTGGAAGTGAAAAATTGTGAAGGAAAGCCAGCCGGTTCTTTGAAGGTTCATGATTAGGCATGAGTAAATCACTTTCTTGTTGGGAATTCCCTTAGGCTTAGGTTTAGCATAACTTGTAGTAGGATTTGTGTAACAGATCTGTAATCAACACTTGTAATTTGCAAACAACATTTGTATATTGACCCTAATGAACTTTGAAATTCAATAAATGAAAATTTCCTTCTTTGGTCTTGTAGCATGAACTTTGTATTATGCCAAGATTAGTGAACTCATATTGGAAATAGTTTGAATTTTCAATTTAAACTCTTGTATAAAATTATAACTTATGGGTTTGGGAAATGAGTTTGGATATGGAATTGGATTTGCCAAAGCTCAAGTCCTAATTTCCTCGGGATTATCCCTTGTTTTGAAGAGACACAAACTCATCCTTGTCAATCCCCTTCCAAACCCACATGCTTAACATGGATGAGTTTTTTATTAGTGTGTTCGCTAAGATTTCACAAGATTTCACAGTAGGTACCTAGACCTAAGAGTTTTTTATTAGTGTGTTTGCTAAGATTTCACAATCTTATGCATACGTATTCTCAAAAAGAAAAACTTAGAAATCAGAGAATTTGTAGTTCCTCCTAAATCTATGGAAGGAAATTGTTTTGTGTCTCTTGTTCAAAGCCCAAGATGATGAAGTTAAAAGAGTATTTATGTCTTATGCAACACCGAAGATGTGAAGCTAAAAGTTTGACTGAGAGAGAATTTGTCATCTATAAAGGGAGACATCTCACCTATTCATCACAAACATTGAAGAAGTGATTATAAGGAAAAGTGCTTTAACTGGGATGTGTGGAATCCAACAATGCCGCATCTTCCTTTATAGGAGAAGTGAAATGTCATGAAGGAAGAAGTTTTGAACTTGGACTTTGAAATATCTAGACCAATGCCACATCTTTCTTCATGAGTTTTAACATAAGGGAAGAAACTTTTAACTTGGACTTTGAAATATCTAGAGCAATGTGGCATCCTTCTTTATGTAAAACAGTTTGATTTGAATGTTTCATTTGATTTGAAATGTGATGTATATAAGGGATATCCTTCTACAGAGAGGGCTCATAGTCTCATCTGTGGGGATGTTGAATTTTGTGCCTTGATCAAAACCCAAGGTTGAAGCGGAAAAGATTGAGAACTAACTCAACTGAGAGTGTTATATATGTCTTGTACAAAGCCCAAGATAGAGGCTGAATGGGGAAATCATTATATGAAGCCTAAGAGGAGGTTGAGGAAATTTAAGTGGAGACTAACTCTTGCTAAAGATTAGAAGAGAGTTGAATTATTTAATGTCACAAGGGCTTTGATCCTTTTGGGGATTTATTGATTGTAAACTGACCCTGACTGGGGATTTTAAAGTGAAAACCAAAACTTCTTGAGGATTAGAAGAGACTTAAAGGATGAGATTGAATGTCCTAGAGATTTTGACTCTCTTGGGGATTGATGTATTGATAAAGCTGACTAGGATCTATCCTATGCTTTTAGGAAGCCTGTGAGTCCTTGTATGAAGCCCAAGAGGAGGTTGGGGGTGCTTCTAGGAAGTATGTGGGTCCTTGTATGAAGCACAAGAGGAGGCTGAGGATTGAGACTTTCCAAGTCTAAGAAGAGTTCAAGAGAGGTTTCACCGGAAAATAATTCTTTCTTTGTCGAACTGTTTCAGAGTTAAAAGGGTTTAAAGAAGAGGTTTCACCAAGAATAAGTAAATTAAACAAAATCTAAGAGAAGGTTAACTGTACTAGAGAGAAGTATTCATTTGTACAAGAGAAAATTAGTTGTTTAAACTAAGTTATAATGATTGAAAAAAAATTAATATTTGTGTGAGGTTTGGATTAATAAAAATTAATATTATGAAGAATTGAATGTGATAGGTAGAATTAATATTTTACGACCCAAATCACTTTTTTCTTGTTAGTGGACGCAGCAACGAGTTTATCAATTAATCTACTATGCTGGGCTATTACAACCACAACAAAAAAAAGAAATCCACCTAATAACTTTTAGCATTTAATTTTTTTGACATGATCCATCTCCAACGAATGTCTTCTCTTTAATCGTTGAAACAAAGTGAAGGGGTCGTTGAAATAAAACATATTTTACATTTAAAATCAATTAATGAATGATGCGTTTGCATTGATGGTTTAATATTTAAGATAAATAAAATAAACATTATTTTAAAGATAAATTTTAACAATTAATAAGATAGATTTTTTTTTCTCAATCATATCAGCACATACAATTTTTTCGAAACAATACCCAAAGAGAGCAAGCATACAATATAAAGACATAATCAAAGATATAAAATTTGGGACATCTTAAGACAGTAGATTAGACCAAAACTCATTTTCAAGATTATCATCATTATCAAACAGAACCACTTCATCTCCATAACCATGCACCGTGGTATCCTTAAAAAACTGCCCTTGCATAATATCAACATTATTCATTTCAATTTCTTCATTCTGGGATACTGATGCTTGTGGAGGAAGTAGTGCCATATCGGATTGAACTTGACTATTAATGTTATTATCCAACCTTCTACCAATGTTGTTCAAATTCATGTCAATCATACATGACAAATTATAGAAATCGACCTTAGACATATTGTTGGACACAATTTTTCGAGCATTTAGACATTCAAACATATACATGGTCATCTCTTTCTCCTTATTGTCTGTCATTTGTTTGTTTAGTTGCTCTTTACCCTTCAAAATCCTTTGTTCCAAGAAAGTCTCTTGATTCACCATTTTTCTGCTTTTCTTAAATTCTGGCATGCTCTTGAATTTTGACAAAACATTTTGAACTCCGCATGGTGATGGCCAGATCTCAGGTTGAGGATCATAAGGACTATAAATTATGGCACAAGCTTCAATTCCGCAGAGGGTACTTAGTTCATCAATCTTCTTCAATACACTCTTCTTCCTTTTCTTGTATGTTGCTTGTCTTGCAGCATCATTTACGATGAATGCAAGTTTCACCTTCTTTCTAGTCATGGTTGTAACTAGAATAATTGAAAATGTTGTTTGTTGTGAATAATGTAGAGTTCTTTGTCTTATAAATATAGACCAATTCCATAGACATTTTTGAATTTCAAAATGTAACTTTATTGCCATACCATAAATATAAGATTTAAAAAATCAAATTCTTTGATCACATATATTGCAATTCAAATAACTTTGACAAAATATTTAGAACCATGTTTTACTATCGATATTTGGTAAAAGTGTAAACTAGGTTTATTCATAAAATGTCATAAATACAAGTATTTATGTCAATTTTTTTATTTAGTAAATATCTTAAATAATATTATATTAGAAAATATATTTATATGGATCACATCAAATAATCACTTTATATTTATTATTAACATACTATAAATATCAAAATACCAACGGTAAATTAAAATCATATCTGCATATAGACGTAATGACGTATTTTAACACATTTCTAACGGTCTCTCTATGCCCAATTCAACGGCTGAGAGACAATAAGAAAGATTTATAACAAAAACACATTTAAATGAAAGAAAAAACATTTTGGTTTTATTACAATTTAGGATTTACAGAACCCTACTTTGAAATTTTAAAATAGATCTTGCATTAAACAATAATTCTTTTTTAGGCAAGATATTCTCATAAACTAGTATTAAGGATACTCAAACCTGAAAATATAAAAGAGATGTCACTCCAAATAATTTATAATAAAGAGTTTAGAGGAGTCGAACAAAATTTATAGAAATTAAAGTTGGAATCGGAAAGAATTCATAGATATTCATTAAAAAAATTTTATAAGAAAAATATTCTCATAAATGAGTATTAGGAGTGTTACACCTGAAAATACAAAGGAGCCAATCAAAATTCATAGAAATTCATAGAAATTAATTTTTTTTATAAGCAAGATGTTCCGATAAACGAATATTAGGGGTGCTCAAACCCGAAAATACAAAAGAGATGTCACTCAATCTCCAACTATAAAACTTAATAGACCAAACGATATCACTAACATTGAACACTTGACCATTGAAAAGAATTTCATTTCTTTGCTTCCAAAGGCTACACAAAACGGCCCATTGTATGATACATTGTCTATTCTTCTTAAGTTTCTTGCCCAATTTGTTACAAGACGACAAAAAGAAACTATGTAATTCTTCCCCTTCTGACAAGTTGAAATCGATCCACCTATTGATTGTTGTCTAAACTTAGATAATTGTAGCATAATCAAAGAAAAGGTGATGCATATTTTCATCATTATAAGAAAGTAGAATATGCAGGGGAGATCATGAATAGAACTTAAAACCCCTCTAGGTTTAAGTTGATCTCTGGTAGCCAACCTATTTAATAGAACTCTCCAACCAAACACATTTATCTTCATTAGAACATGAGCATCCCATATATGTCTCCAAGCCTTACCAAATGTGGCATCAATGAACATTGTATTACTGTCTTCAACAACGACAGCTTAACAGGAATTCACGAAGAAGACATCAGACTCTTCGTTAACCCAACACACTTCATCCTCTTTGCCTTAGGTTACCATGTGGCGCTCCAACAAAGCCTTAATCTCTATGAGAATGTCTGGCCAAATATCGTGATCCACTACCGAAAGATCTAAGTCTCCCTAACTACATGAATCTACCTCTCGATGGCTCATATTACAGACAAATTTAGATTTAAACCTACAACTACATAAAAGATTAGGATAGATGCATTTAAGAGGTACATCCCCACACCAAGTAGCAGACAAGAAATGGGTATTAGTCCCTTCTTCCACACTATACTTGATATTATCAACAAACTTAAAATACTATTTTCTAGCACTTCTATTGAAGGAAATAATGTGTAACACCCACATATAAAATAATTCATATTATACATGGTTACAAATTTGGTACTAAAATATACATAAGTTCTTTGTGAGACTGCATGATATACCTTCGAGTATTGTGTCAGATAGAAATCCCAAGATTACATCAAGGTTTTTGGAAAGTTTGCAGAAGGCTTTGGGTACAAAGTTTAAATCGAGTTCTTTATATCATCCATTAACGGACGGTTAAGCAGAAAGGACTATCCGATCTTTGGAGGATTTGCAGAGGGCTCGTGTGCTAGAACAAGGTGGTACTTGGGACAACTACTCACCATTGATTGAGTTTACCTACAATAAAAAATTTTGTTCTATAATTTGAATGATACCGTATGAGGCATTGTATGATATGAGGTGTAAGATTCCTTATGTTGGATTGAGTCAGGAAAGAGTGTTGTGCTCGAACCTGAAATTGTTTCACTACTAAAGTTTTTGTGTTTAGTGACCAAATTAGAGACCAAAACAACATAAAAATTGGTCGCTATGACATTTAACGACCAATAAAGCGACTACTAAATTAGTGACCGAAATTTAGTGATCGTTTTCAATTAATTAAAGAAATTAAAATAAAATAATTTTTTTGCCACATTCAAGAATTAAACCAATGCCTTTATGTTTGAGAAGTTTGAGCATGACCATTGGACTATTTCATTTTAAATGTACATTTTCTTTTAAATTTGTATATATTATAAATGACATAAAAATTTTAAATATTATCTAAAAAAAATATTAAATTAATTATCATTAAAATTACATTTTTTTTTAAATTAATAAATTTGCATGAAAGAATTATTTATATAAATATATCTTTTATTTCTTAAAATGTTAAAATAAAATTAGACTTTCACTAAAAAATTAAAATTGAAAAGGAATTAAAATATTTTTTAAAAAAAGAAAAAAATTGGACAAAGTAACTTAATAAAGAAAAATTATTAGTGACCAAAATTACAGTCGCTACAGCTTTTTATAAATAAATTTTTTATAAAAACGTTTATTTGTGACTGAAAATTACGGTCACAAAATTTCAATCACTAATTCGGTGGCTAATTTTATTTAGTGACCGATTTGGTGACTTTTAAAACTTTATTAACATGATCTCCAATTTGGGTGGCTATAGTAAGTGAAAATTTCCAGTCACTAATTCGGTCACTAAAAGCAAATTTTCTAGTAGTGTTCAACAGACGATTGAGAGGATCAAGATGACCCCAAGAGAAGATGAAAGCATCACAGGGTCGTCAGAAAAGTTATCATAATAAGCGGAGTAAGGATCTTGAGTTTCAGGAAGGTGATCATGTTTTTCTATGAGTTACTCCAATGACGAATGTTGGTCGTGCTCTGAAATCTAAGAAGCGTACTCCCTGCTTCATTGGGCCATATCAGATTACTCAGAGAATTGAAGTCATTGCTTACCGTGTGGCTCTACTCCCCTGTCTCTTAAACCTGCAAGATGTTTTCCATGTGTCACAACTCCAGAAATATGTTCATGATCCGTCTCACATAATCAAGATGGATTATGTGCAAGTTCAGGATAATTTGACTATTGAAGCATTCCTTGTTCGGATTGAGGATAGAGAAGTGAAACAGGTTTGTAGCAAGGAGATTTTTCTTATTAAAGCTTTTTGGGAAGGACCTGTTAAAGGTAGTATGACTTAGGAGCTGGAGATTCGGATGAGGGAATCCTACACAGAGTTATTTTCGTTAGGAAATTTTTTAGGAAAAAAATCTTTTTAAGTGGGGGAGAGTTGTAACACCCCTATTTTATTTTAATATTTTAATAAAATATTATGATATTTGTTTGTTGTGTGTGGTGTGATCTATTTAATTAATTGTGTTATTTTTAATGATTTGGGTGTTATAAGGGTATTTTGGTAATTTAATAATTACCGAAATAGTTGCATTGAGAGTGTGGAATTTATAAATTAAGATTTATTGAATTATTAGTTAATTTTAAGATATTTAGTAATTATTAATATTATTAGAGTTTTTGGATTTAATTATAGATCATAATTAAATTATTATTTAATTGAAATACTAATTTAACTTTAATGTTTTAGAATAATCATTTACGGTAACATTATAATTATTATTTTATTTTTTTAAGTTGGAATAATTATTTAATTGGGATAGTTTTTAATAATAAAAATAAATTGATAATTCTAACGTTAGAAAAATTTAACATTAATAAGGGGGTTTGAGAGTAAGTAGGAGGTGAAATGTCCAAACGAGATTTGAGGCTATAAATGTTAAAGTTAGTGTTAGCTAGGGCAGAGCAGGAAAAATCTCAAAATTAGTCAAGCGGCGCATTTGAGAGGAAGAAAGGGAGATTTGAAAAGGGAGCAGTAGGAACAAAAAGACCAAAGAAGAAGCTTTTATTAAGGCAGGGGAAGAATTATTTTCAGTAAGGTGGCTTTTAGGAAGTAGTATGATGAAGGTTCTTTTTCCCTATCATCGGCGCCAAGGGATTTTTGGCCTAATAATCCTATTTTCTTTATAGATAACATTTTGTTGTGTTTTTATATTTTGTTCTGCATATTTTGTATTTTATTCATATTGGGCTTCCTTTAACCCTTTTGACTTTAACATATGGTAATATCTTAATAGGGCTTTTCCACCATTCAAACTTAGTGGAATTACCATTGAATAAAGGTTGTTTAACAAATTAATGAATTTCTCATTAGTTTTATAGTCATAACATATAGAAGCGCCGAACATGATAGGACATGTATTTATCTCAGGATCGTTTATTGTAACACAGTGATGTGTTTAGCACCGACCATGCTATAATGCCAATTGAAGGTGAAAAATATACACAAGAATGAGGGTTGAATTGTGTATGCCAAAATCTTTTCATTTTTGAACAGTTACTTCAGCATCTGAACAAGGTTTAGAGTCTGATTTCAAAAATAGAAACAACAACAGAAATAATAATGATTAGAAGTAAAAGTAAGTAACACACAAAGTTTTCTTAACAAGAGCTTTTCACTATAATCAAACAAATTACACATTTCTCAAGCAATCTAGCAAGAGACATCAATGCTCAATCAACCTAGAAATAGACTTGTGCTTAAGAAACCTTGCAAGAGACTTACACTCAATCAACCAAGAAAGAGACTTCACTGCTCAAGTACAGAGGCAAGAGACTTCACTACTCAAGCACACAGTCAAGATACTTCCTCTACTTTAAACAAACAATTTAGTAAAAATGATAACCATTATACTTAGAAAGACAATCAAAAGTATAGAAGTTGTGCAACAACCACAAAGGTTATTAACCTCTTAAAATTTCTAAGAAATATAAAGATAAGAAATCATAAGATCTTATGCAATAACAATTACAAACAAAAGCTTAGAGTTATGCTCAAGATTTTATATTGTGATGTTGTAACCTTTCTTTAAATCTTCAGCTTCGTTTTATAGAGGCAGAGAAAGATTCGTTGGAGGGTTGAGCATAAGAGAAAAATTATTAAAGAAGCATGCCAAAAGAGATGATGTAGAACGTATCTGGTTAGAAGCATTGTCCTTGAATAATGGCATTCTCCACAACACCTTTCAAAGTACTAGGTACGTCCAAATGGTAGAACAGACTGAAGAGGTCAAATCACAATTCCTTGAGCCTTGCAAAAGAAACCCTAGTTGACACTCTCTAAAAATCTGGCACTTTGACTAGACTGGTCTGCTTTTGGTAAACAGTATGGATCAGAGACACCTTTAACCTTCAGAGTTTGAGCTGTCACTAGAGGTTGAATATATGACTAGAGTCTGAACCTTCAGAGACTGATGAATATATTCGAGTCACAATATTCTGATCATTTAAAATCTAAGTTACATTACTTCTTCACATATGGTTTTAACAGGATTAATTCAAAGTGAATTCTACACTTGTGATCATGTACACTTGAACATATGTTAGTATATCCATTTTTTATTTAAGTACTTAGTTATCATCAAAACCCAACAAATATGAAAATTCTTATACGAACAATAAACACATTCAAAGAAGTTAACATCATGTTGAACTTCTAAACATCTTTTTTTGAACTTGTAAAACTCTTTTCAATTGAACCATCACTTCAAACTTGTCAAGATTGGCTTCAATTAAACTTTTTGTTAAGTAGAATCCTATGAACTTGTCGGCTCTTGCACCAAATGTAAACTTCTCTGGACTGAGTTTCATGTTGTACTACCAAGCTTTTTTTGAACACCTGTTGGAGGTGTTGATCATGAATATCCCCATTATTGGACTTTACTATTATATCGTGCATATACACATCTAGTGTTTCACCTATTTCTTCTAGAAAGATATTGTTCATCATCCTTTGGTATGTCATGCATGTAATCGTTGATTTGAAAGGCATGTCATTGTATTGAAAATTATGTTTTTCGGTCATGAAGGTCGTCTTTCTATGGTCTGGTCCTAACATAGGTATCTAGTTATACAAAAAAATAAGCATCCACAAATAGTATAGTTTATATCTAGCTCAGTTGTCAACAAGTTTGTCGATATTCGGCGACACATAAAAGCCCACAAGATCGAGGTAGTGAATCGTTGAAGGCCAATGAATCTCTAGCACTGTATAGATATGAATCTATCAGTTTGAGGCCAAATTGCTTTAACAAATCTAAGTAGAGGCTATTACATGAACTTTCGAAGTTTACAAGGAATCCTGTAAAATTGCGATATGTGATAGTAACTGCTATAACTAGTGGTAACTTAATGTTCGGGACTATTTATCTTATCATGATCTAGGAACCCAAGTGCCATGTGATCTTTATTTATCAATCTGATATTACTTGTCATATGGAGGAGGTAGTCTGGTAGCAGATCTATGTTGGATGTTGCCATAGTATGGATTTCATCAATGACTAACTATTTTAGTGATACATAATGAGGAGGTTAAGCAAGTCTCTTCAATGTAATGTTAGAGGTGGTTGTATCTATTTCTCGATAATTCTTGTAGAGGTCTGACTTTAGATCAAGGACTATCTTTCTCTGGGATTTTGCGGGAATTAGGAGTCAATTTATACATACGGTGACATTATCACTGAATTTAATCAAAATTAGTGTTAATCAATGGTAGAGGACTCAGAATCGGTGTTGTCAATCTCTTGTGTGTCAGCGTGGTAGAATTTGCAAAATTAGCACTTCAACGCCCAAATATATTTAAAGACTGAAAAGAGTATAGTAAGAAGTGGAGATAAAAAAATGGACTTTGAATTTCGCATGTCATGACATTGGATTATTTTGATTAAGATTGCATATAATTGGACCTTAGCTTTAGGCTTTTGACCGGTTCGAAAAAAAGAGCGATTTTATTCTCCAACCATAAATTTTCAAAAAACAAATTAGTTATATTATTTTTGTTGGCAGATTTAATATTAGTTGTTGGTTAAGATTATATTACAATAAATATTTTCACCAAATTGGATCTAATGGCCTAATATGAAAAATTATGTAAAACTATGTGTTTTTTTAATTTAATTATGTAAGACTATTTTTTAGGTATTAAAATTTGAAAATATAAAGACTTGTATGATAATTTAGGCTTACAAAATTATTTTTAAATATTGTTCCTTATTTTTAAAAGTATCAAAAACTAAAAAACTAAAATAAATTTTGAAAGTTTTGACTTTTAGTTTTGAAAATTGAAAGGGAAAATAAATGATCACTTTTCATTAGTAACAAATATATAATATTATAAAACTTTAAAGTAGTTTTTAAAAATAAAATTATTGAATATATTTTCTTTATTTTTTAAAATTGTTTTTTAAAAATAGTTTACAAAATAATTTTTAAAAATTAAAAATTAAAACTCATTCAAAAAATTCCTATGTCTTTTATATTTGTCTTTTATTCTTCATCTATTTCAATTCTTATGAACAAGTGACTCAATTATATGTTTTGGAAGATGTAGAAAATGCATTAAAGCTTCTTGCATCATATCTTACCACAAAATAAATGGCTTTGAATGACTTATTGAAACTCTCTTCACGGTTTTATTTAAAACTAAAATCGTTGGAAACATATCCTGATTGATATGAATGTGTATTCTTCATTTTAAAAATGAATGGTTCTTTTTCTTCAATGTTCTTTGATAGAGGAAAAAATTACTAATTAACTATAGTATTTTACTAATGAATGGTTCTTTTTGTTAGATTATTCATTAGTGATATTATTTAATGCAGTGTCTTTGACACATTTGAAACATCAATGAAAACAAAGGAAAGCCAAAATAATATTACGAGAACAGTAAATACGTACCCACTAATTAATGAAGAAAATGGAAGAATACTCTCGTATAAACTAGTATCAAATATAAGAAAATATTCAAGAACTATTATCAACATCTAGGTCGGTGAACCTAGTAGGTGGTTTAAAATCTTAGTCTTAAGACAAGGGAGCATTCTATTGGGTTTTTGGTTCACTACTGTATGGCTACGGACTAGGTGGAGGTGCGCTGAAGAAATCATCAGAGCAATAAGACTTGTGCTTCAGTTTGGTCAGAAAGAAGAGGCAAAGAACTGGTGGACTCTAAAGATATTTCTTCTTTTTTCTTTACTGAGTTCCTTGAGACATATGGGACGAATGATATGGCTGATATGTTCAATAAATTTGGCATTGTCATGGGGGTCTTTATCCCTGCAAGGAGGGATAAGAGGGGAAAGCAGAACAATTTCGTTAGGTTTAAAAAGGTGCAGGATGAAAGACTAATGGCGAATAAGCTTGATAGTATACATATAAAAGGAAGAAAGATCTTTGCAAATATTTATAGGTTTAATAGAGGATGGTGCTAAAGAGCATTCCTTCCAAAGGACTGGATAGAAAAGAACAGGGTGGCATAGATAGACCTGTGGTATCTAACATGAAAGATATTGTTCATGGTATATCTTTTGCACAAGTGGTTAAAAACGATAGAAGGGAAAAGATAGAAGGGGTCGAAGGCAACAGGAATATGTCAAGATGGAGGAAACAAACGGAAAGCAAACCAAGTTTTACCCATTTGTAGTTCAATGTATAAAAATCCAAGATGGAGAGATTTGAGAAGGCCTTTGTTGGTGAGGTGATGAAATCAGGATCTACGTACAATATACAAGACGCTTTAAATGCAAAAGAAATATTTCACATTAAAGCTACACCAGTTGGTGCAAACGTGTTTCTTCTTAAAGAAATCTTAGAAGGCTCAATGAGGTCTTTGATTCAGGAGGAGGAAGAATGGATTTCTCGTTGGTTCTGTAACATACATCCTTAGTCCCTTGAGGACACTGATAATGAATGATTAACTTGAATCAGATGTTTCAGACTATCTTGACATGCTTGGTGTCCTAAATTTTTCAAATTCGCGTCCTGTCGAGTGGGTGAACTTATTCAACATGGCGAGGAAACGAAAATGCATAAACATTTGGATGTTGCAAGGTTCATAATCAAGATCAAGTTTTCCATGAATCTTAATTAAAGTTTCAATGTGGAAATAAATGGAAAAATATAAAGAATTAAGTTGTTGGAAGATTTTCATGGTCCAAAAAGAATAGTGGTGAATAAGGTTGCTAGATCGGAAAGTGAGTCAGAAATAGGAAAAACAGAAGATAAAGATGGTGAGTCTGATGATTCAGATGGCGGTGATGATGAGGAGGATGAAGTGAATGAAAACTAAGGATGGTAAGGTGATAATGTTGTTAGTGGGAACCTCAACATTATGGAGAAACAAAATTCGGTGGATAATGTCAAATCTGTTGGGAGTGTAGAGCTACAGGTCAACGCCAAAGTGGCGCCTATTTATGAGACAAGTGAAAAAAAGGTGTTTCTTGGAGCAATTATGGCTGATAGCACAAATAATAAGGATGTGGGAACACACATTACAATTAATGTAGCAGATGCAGATAATATGGTGATGGTATACAAGTCTGCCATGCAAAACCACATGTGTGTTGGAATTGGACAAAGTTGTTCCCCAAGACAAGGATTGCAAGACTGAGTGTATTGTGCGCCTAGAGAAAATTATATCGAACCCATCTCTTGCTTAACAATTAGACTTGGTGGGCCTCGCTTTGGGCATATTCCAAGAAAGAAAAAATTACTAATTGATCTTTATGAAAATATTAAGATCTCATTTTCCCCCTCCTAGAGAAAATTATATCGGACCCTATCTCTTGCTTAACAATTAGACTTGGTGGGCCTCGCTTTGGGCAACTCTTTTGTAGGATGAGAACTAACAAGATACATCACTTGGGGGAATTTTGCAAAGCTTAAGTATACATATTCATTCCTTCAAACATGATGAGGATATAAAATCATGGTAACAACAAAGAAAGTAAAGCAAAGCATGTGGCAACATCAAGCAAAACAAATAACAAGGTTACAACCATGTATTCATCCATAGAAGTTTTAGAATTAAACCAAATGGTTACAACTAAAGGTAAACATAGATGTTACAACATCTAAATGGCTATGAAATAAGGTTCTTACAAGACCAAACATCATAGATGACAAGTACAAGTGAATCACGCATAAGTCAAAATATTACTTATCATGGAAAAGTTCAAAACTCAAGGCCAACATGCATAAATCATTACAATATTTAAGGCATGGATACAAGTAAAGAGAAGTGACAACCAAAACATCTTTGGACAAGCGTGTGACATGTGTAACAACAAAATGTGAATTATGGTGAATCATGTTAAATAAGAAGGTAACAACCAACATGTAAAAGAAGTTCAATAATGGAAGATGGGAAGCATCTCAAAGGTGTTTCATGCATACTAAAAATATTTTAAAGCAAAACAACAAGTGTTCAAGAACACTAAAGACAAGGTATGAGAACATGAAGCATATGTTCATCCAAATATTTTGATCATAGAAGAAAATCACATTTTAAAGGCAAGGTAACAACCAAGTTTTTATGATATTCAAACATGTATTTACATATGAATATGAATTAAAAAAAAAAACAATAACCATCATGTAACAACAAGGGCATGCAAATTCACCATATCAAGTAAGGTTTATACAAGGTGTGTGAGGTTTATACAAGTTAAAATATGCAAGGAGAATCAAAGGAATCAATCAAAAGATCAAAAGGAAACCTAAGAAACCCTAAAACAGGTCATATACTTTGAATATGAACAAGTACCAAATAAATAATTCTGTTGGGTTTTTTTCTTGAAATAGACAAAAATTAGACATTCTTATGAGCATTTAGTAAAAAGAATGGTATCAAGATGATAGAAAACAAGAGATTTGTGAAGGTTTGAAGTTACTTTAGAAAACAATAAAACAAAGCACTAAAAAAATATGGGAATGCATCATAGGGGTATTGAACCCATGCCCTCAAGGTTCTTGGCTCAAAACACTAGCCAGCTGAACTACACGTGCAGTGTGACATGTCAATGCAAACACACAATAATATTGAAAGAAACAAGGGATAAATGAAAAAAAACACAAAAGGGTTAATCAGCAGAATCGAACCCAAGCTCACAAGGTAAGCAAAGACACGGCAAGGTGAGGTTTACCATTGGGATGGTTGTTTCATCCTAACAATATATTTGTAAATTATTAGATTTTAAGAATCCATTAAAATGGCCATCTCAGCAACAGGTCATCGTCATGTCACCTCCACCTCAGCTTTCATCTTCTTCTTCTTCGCTTCTCTTTCTTTCTCTCTTTTGTGCCCTAAAGCATCTCCTGTGGCCAGAGTTTCAACTCAATGTATCTCACTCATTTCTCAATCATTTTTCAATTTATATAAACCAAATTTGGAACATTTTTCATAAGGATTTTAAATATATCATCACCTCATCATAAAAACAACTGAGTAAACCAAGAATCAATAAACAACTGTGCAACACCATAAAGGCTCAACATGTCAAAACATCACATATTCAACTCATACAACGTAAATAATTGGTTCAAACAGATCGCACATGATATTATCTACATTTTTGTTTCACAAGTGAATCACTAATGGTGCATGAAGTAAGAAGTTCAAAGAGTGAGAAGTTTACCTCTTGGAGACAGTCCAAGGATTCTTCAAATGCTTGTATATAAAGAAAACAAGTGTCACTTTAGCCTTGTTGGTCCTTGGAGAGTGTATTCAGATGATACAGTTGCTTGGAAATAACTTCAAGAATCAAACCCGTGCCTTCTTGTAAAATGAAGGTTGAAAATGGTGGGTGATATTTTAGGTGTTCCAGAACCTGTTTGATGGTTGGAACCATGTTTATGGAGTGTTTAGAGAAGGTTTGTGGTGTTTGTTTGTGAGTTGCATGAAGGAAATGAGTTTGGCCAAAGGTTTTGCAAAACTGAGGTGTTTTTGCAAATGAGTTTGGCCAAAGGTTTGTGGTTCTTATGTGTGGAGTATGATTGTTCTCCCCTTTTTGCAGCTTAGAGGTGTCCTTTATTTATAGGAAAAATGGAAGATTTGAGAGCTGATCAGAATCTAAGGTTTATGGAGTTTTAGTTTAGTTGAGATTGGATGATATAGTTTCATGTAGTTCCATGGTTTCAAGGCCAATTAAAAGTTGTAGGGTGATTGAGAGGTTGCTTTTGATGTGTTAGAGTAGGTTGAGTGTAGAAAGGAGAAAGGGGAGAAGCTCAACACTAACTTTTGCATAAAGCAATGCTTTATCAAAATGGAACTTACCACTTTATGCCATAAATGGAAAATGCAAGTTGTTTGAGCTTTAATTTAAGGGATCAAGCTTCCAAATTTTGTGTAATGATCTGATTAAGTGAGATTTGCAATCAATCAAGTTATGTAAAGCAAGATTGTGTAGTAACCAAAGATTTTGCATCAACTTTGTCATGTTGGAAAACTTGGAAATCAAGTTTAGAACCCTACCTGCATCGCTTCGAAACTTCAAGCTCAAGAATGGGATTTAGGAGTTCTTGTACTTTTTAGAAAGCCCTAAGCATGCCTTACAACTTTCATTTTTGGTGAAATTCTTGAATCCAAAGGGATCATGGTGAAACCTAGCCTTGAAGTTGGCTGAAAATTGAAGCAATAAGGTTGTCTTGTAAATTTCTAAGTGCTTTGAAATCCTCCCAAACTTTGAAGCTTCATAACTCAAAATCTAAGCATCTTTTACTCATAAGTCGGACACTTTTGTAGTACATGAGGAGATATTTAAATTGATCTTTGGAACTCAAAAAATGGATGTGTGGATTGAAAGTTATGGCCTCTCAAAGTTGGTACCATAATTAGGGTTTCTTCCCACACTTAGAAAAAATCCAAGCTATCTAAGTTTTCTTCTTTTGTGAAATAAGGTTTATGAAGGTTTGTAATTGGGAAACAAATGGAATGAAGTTGGGATGTGTAAATAAAGTGTACGGTGAATGTTTCTTTTGCATCGACAATTTCGTTTCAATGGTCTTATAAATGACCCTTGTTTGTAAACCCGACCAAGCTATAACCTTAAAGACCTTAGTGATCGTTTTGCTTCCATATTTTCACTTTTGATTGTTAGATATTGTTTGAATTAAATTGATATTGGCATTGTTTGTTAGGTGAGTGCAATTGTCCCTGTGGTTGCAAACGCGTAATTTCTTCAATCCTTATTCGAAGAGGAGAGATAGAGTGATTCATTCATGAAAAACATAGTTGTTGATTGATACATGGCTTAATATTTGCTTTAAGAATTTAGTTCTTCTGCATTGTTTGATTCCCAATATTTGAAACCATTGCTTGTTTGCATTCTTTGTGTGTGAACCATTTTATCCATTCTTGGGTGAATCTTAATCTTGAGTAAATCCTCTTGTTTGAAATGAGAGGCATACTTTGCTTGAGGGCAAGCAAAAATCT